GGAAGGCTGCAGTGGTAGCAGACGGGAAGGCTTCAGTGGTAGTAGACACGAAGGCTGCAATGGTAGCAGACAGGAAGACTGCATTGGTAGCAGACAGGAAGGCTGCAGTGGTAGCAGACAGGAAGGCTGTAGTGGTAGCAGACAGGAAGGCTGCAGTGGTAGCAGACAGGAAGGCTGTAGTTGTAGCAGACGGGAAGGCTGCAGTGGTAGCAGACGGGAAGGCTGAGTCGTAGATCTCCCAGCAGAGTCCAAATTTCCAAAGAGGGCGTTTCCTCACAGACCTCTGGGAACTGTAATCAGTACTTGCAGTGGTAGCAGAAAGGAAGGCTGCAGTGGTAGCAGACAGGAATGCTGGGTCGCCGATCTCCCAGCAACGTCCAAGTTTACAAAGATGGCGTTTTCCCACAGACCTCTGGATATTTGTTTTCTTAGCTTTAGATCTGTATTCTTTTTGTCACTTTAGAGAAATCCGATGATTTTTGTAGGTTGATGTTGTATTCTGCCACTTTGCTGATTTGGTCAACTATGTCCAGTAATTAAAAGACCTTATGGTTTTTTAAGTATACTATCATATCTTCATAGAGAGATAATTTTACCTCATGAATGGGGGAAAATTAGATATTGTTAAAGAGGAAATGAAACACATAAATATTGACATACCAGGCATTGGTGAAATGAGATGGACCGGCATAGGGCATTTTGAATCAGATATCATATCCTACTCCAGAGATGAAACGGTGAGGAAAAATGAGTTTGCTTTTGTAGTTAGAAAAGCCATTTCTAGATTCGTCTTGAAGTACGGTATTGTGAGTGACAGGATAATATCCATGAGCATAAAAGGAAATCCAGTGAATACCACTATCATTCAGATATATGCACCAACAACCAGAGGCAAAGAAGAGGAAATAGAAGATTTCTACCAAATTTTACAGTCAGAGATCAATCGAACATGAAATCAAGATGCATTGAAAATAATGGTTTACTGGAATGCAAAAGTTAGGAACAGAGAAGAAGAATCAGTAGTTGGAAAAAATGGACTCAGAGACAGAAATGGAGCTGAGATAGAATGATTGAATTTTGCACAATCAATGACTTATTCATCACAAACATATTTTTTAAGAGACATAAACACAGGTTATACCCATGGATCTCACCTGATGGTATGCATAGGATCGATTACATCTGTGGAACTGCTGGAGAAGCTCAATATTAGCTGTGAAAACTAGCCCGGAGCTGATTGTGGAACAGACCACCAACTACTCATATGCAAGTTCAAGCTGAAGCTGAGGAAAATTAAACCAAATCCACAAGAACCAAAATATAACTTTGAGTCTATCCCACCTGGATTTCAGAACCATCTCAAGAACAGGTTTGAGGCCTTGAACACAAATGAACGAAGAACAGATGAGTTGTGGGAGGATATCAAGGGTATCATCATCCAAGAAGAGTGCAAATGTTCATTACAAAGACAGAAGAGGAAGAAAAGACCAAAATGGATGTCAGAAGAAACTTTGAAGATTGCTCTGGAGTGCAGACAACCCAAAGCACAAGGATGAACTAAAGATACTAAAGAGCTGAACAGAAGATTTCAAAAGGCAGCATAGGATGACAAAGCAAAATATTACAATGAAATGTGCAAGGAGTTGGAGTCAGAAAACCAAAAGGGTTGAACTCGCGCAGCATTTCTTAAGCTCAAGGAAATGAAGAACAAATTCAAACCTCGAGTTGCTATAATCAAAGATGGTTTAGGCAGAGTACTAAATGATCCAGCAGGTATCAAAAGAAGATGGAAAGAAAGATGCTTTAGGCAGAATATTAAATGATCCAGGAAGTATCAAAAGAAGATGGAGAGAATATACTTAGTCATTGTATGGAAAGGAATTGGCAGACACAGAAGAATTTCATGAAACAACATATGAGCAAGAGCCTATGGTGATGAAGGAAGGAGTTCAAGCTGCTTTGAAAGAAATAGCAAAAAATAAGTCCCCAGGAATAGATGGTATACCAATTGACATATTTCAGCTAACAGATGCTGCCCTGGCTGTGCTTACTAAGTTGTGCCAAGAAATCTGGAGAACAACCACTTGGCCAACTGACTGGAAGAAATCGATATTTGTTCCCATTCCAAAGAAAGGAGTAAGGATACAAACTGCTCTCAACTAAAATTTGAATGATTTCCAGGGCTTACAAATTTACTCTAGCGTGAGAGTGTGTGGCAGAATCCACAGGGAGCAATTATGGTGTTAGGTGAACACCATATTTTAGTGGGAAGAGAATTTTACCATTCTAGAACTTCCAATAACTACAATAAATATAAAGCTAAGGATGCTTTCGGTAGAATGTTAAATGATCCAGAAAGTATTAAAAGAAGATGGAAGGAATATACTGAGTCACTGTATCGAAAGGAATTGGAAGACACAGAAAAAATTCATGAAACAACATATGAGCAAGAGCCTATGGTGATGAAAGAAGAAGTTCAGGCTGCTTTGTAGGAAATGGCAAAAAATAAGGCCCCAGGAATA